TCTCCAACCTTGCTGGAGCTGGTTTTCATTTCCTTAGGAATTGCCATATTCACACAACCACCAAAGACACACATCTGCTGACACTCAGAGCAGGCAAAAAACAACACACTATGCAAGAAAAGTTGATTTTTATCTACACATTTCAATTAGCTGCTTTTCTGTCAACTGCCTTACTGGAAAACAACACCAAGAATTTGAAGTCTCACTGTTGGATGTGTGTTTCAAACCCTGAGTGAGGCTGGTTTTTAGAAATTTCCCAAACCTCTAAGGGTATGAGTGTCTTGCAGGTAATTGTATGTGCACGTACAAGAGTATCTCATGGCCCACTGTGCCACTACAGCATCAGTATGGAGAGAGAGGACACACAAAAACAGTTCATAGGAGTATCTGCAGAAGCACAAAGAGAGGTTAATTTCTGTGCTATATATCACATCTCTGCCCCAAAGTGTATTTATCAGGGAAAATAGAGCTATCTCCCAGCTGCCAGACAAGAAGAGACAACAGCAAATAACTAGCAGTCATTCCCAATGCCACCCTGTTATTCTGGCACAGACACAGCAGCGAAGTCAAAAAAATGAACTTGCTGAGACAGGAAAATTTTTGCAGCAGAAGCACCAGAGATCTTCTAAATAGGCTAATACATTCAGAAATTAGTATTTGAAAGAGTGAACAGTACTTCCATAAACAAACAGTTCAGCAGTTTGTATGTTTTTTGTTGATATATGCCAGTATGAGCAGGAGGTTTTCTGTTTAGAAAAGAAGATCTAGATCAACAAGCTAACTTTTGTTGCGCCAGGCTTTCAAAGTGGAGGAAAGACAAGGGAAAACACACCCAGTGGCCATAAATTACTCCCAGTTCTTGGCTCCAATTAGATATCAATTTCCAAAGGACTTGAGTGGGCTGAAATAAAAAGCAGGGACTTAAACCACATTTATGTGAAATATTTGGCTGCATAAGACATTCAATGACAGTCTGCTTTGCTGTATTTGCCTGGGATGTCCTGGGGTTGCTGTCTGTCAGAATATCTTAGAAATCCCCGCAGTAGATCATATGCAAAAGAGAAAGAGGCAAAATTAAAAACCTCCATGGAAATACCCTGTGGCTATTAGGATACATTTAAATCCTTGCTTATAAGACTGTAAAAAACTGAAGGACATACTGGATAGGTGTAGTGCTAGGAGAATTATGGTAATTTGAGAGTAAGAATTACTATAAAAACTAACAGGAAGGACAGGAAAAAGGTTCAAGTTAGTCTGAGGAACTGGGTAGCCAAAAACTCACCAGCTGAAAGCACTGAAAAGAATTTTTTTTGACAGATATGGATGACACTGGGAACTGACCAAAAAAAAAAAAAAGCCCCAGATTAAAACCCTCACTACTCTGCTTTCTGCAGATAAACCCAATGACTCTCCTACTGGCTGCAGTTTGCAGCTAGGAAGAAAATTTCTCTCAGCAACAAGCATATGCAATATCCCAATCAAGGAAGAAAATAGATCCATAATGTTTTTCACAGACGCCTTATTTGCTCTTGCCAGTTTACACACGATCTTTCCCCTTGCCAATGTATTCCAGAGGCACAGTTTTAAGAGAATTTTGCACATATAAATAAAATGTATTCTGAATTAATGATGCTGAATTAACTTACATTTTGAAAAGGATTCAAGTTTTCCCATTTTACTTCCTTCACTAATACTTGTTCAAAGCAAGCCCTGCCTTTTGCAGAGGAAATGTCACGACTCCAGCACCTTCACACAAGATAGAAAGAGTTTTAACAAGACACAGGGCTCTGTGACTGCAAAGAAACCCAGATTTAAGTTAAGAAAAACCATGTAACCCAGACTTCTGCAATTTCCATGGTTGCCACCCATCCTAAGCAATGTAGGCACGCTGGTAGAGATCTCCACAGCACAGGCTAAACTAGAAATTTCACTTTCATGAACGGCCATAAAAAGAAAGACAATTTTAGATCAGTAGGATTCAGCGCTATAGAGAAAGTAACTAGGACCATATGAAAAAAAAGTTAAATACAGTTCCTTCAATGTTTCCTGTCTTAGAAGGTTTATAAATTAAAAAAAAAAAAAAAACACAAAACAAAACAAAAAAACCAACCAAACAAACCAGTGAAACCTCCAGCAATTTAAAGCCTTGATTCTGTGTTAACAAATGCATTCTTCACTGAGATATGGTGAGGGGAGATGTTCCTCATGGAGAGCATTGCAGGGAGGGTATTTCTTTCACTGTGAGCTGCAGGAGTTAAAACATGCAAGTCAAGAGGAAGCAAAAGAGTTGGCAACATTTAGGTTTTACCACGTGCAAAATAACTGCAGAATTACAAATTGCAACTCTAACAAAATGAACTGCAGCCTTTGGGGAACAAAATGATGTGTAATAAGAATGTCTGTCCAAAGAATACAATATAATATGCTTCAATTATTTTGAAAAACTGCCTATGCTGCTAAGCCCTTTTATCTTTTGCTCATAGCTTGCTGTCCAGATTTCTAACACATTCTTGTCAAAGCAGCAATCCTAGGACATCCCAGGCAGCTAGAGTCTCTCTGAGAGCTAACCACTTTAAATGCAGAAAGACTCACCTAATAAAAACCTCAATTCTACAAAATGCAGAATTTGTATAAGCATCACTCCAAAAGGTAAAGCAGCTAGTGACAGCTTTAGAAAGAGCTGTAGTTCTCATTGAAAAGTGGAGGTGCAAAGCTATTGATTAAGGATACAGCTCCTTAGGGCAGCTATAATCCTGTAAACCTGAAAAAAATTACATTGAATTAGAAATAATGGCTCATTTATCCCCACAGCTGTGTATTTTTAGTCAAAAATACAGCACACAAACACATTCTGCATTCACACACCTGCTCATCAGCACGTGAGTAACTTGCAGTATGTGATGACCAATTCCACATCCTACAACCTTGGGTGGCTACTGAAGTACCACCTCTAGCTTTATGAGCGGAAACTCCAGTCAAGGCCTCAAAAGGCATATGAACAGACTGATTCCTATCACCAACCACAGCATGAAACAAGCTGCACAGACCATAAAAAATATTGTATATTAATTTATTCAAAAAATTTCCACTTATTAAATAAACTAAATCTCGTATTAAACACTTTTCCCAAGTAGATTTTTCCTCAATATTACAGCATCTCTCTCTTTCACCTAGTTGGTGCAAAAATTTAATTCCCAATGTATGCCACTGTCGTTCCATCCCACAAAGTAACAGACACGATCATTTTTTGCTCTTTCTTATTATGACAGTGGTGCCAAAGTAAGAGCTTTTCCTCCTCCACCTCCTCCTTCTCCTCTCATTTTTGGTGCCTCTTCTTAAAGCTTTATCAGCTTTCAGTCTCAATTTAGAGCCTTAGAAAAGCACGAAGCTTGTCTGCAAAGCAGTACCCTGGAGAAGTTAGAGGTGGCAAACTGAATAGGTAGTGTCGGTGTGAGCTGAATGACAGTGCAAACCGTCTCATGAGGTGCAAGGTGTTTTTAGCACGCCTCGCTAAAAACTCAGAAGATTAAGGAGGATAGGTCAGTATTTATCTTAAATTCCCTAATTAGTTGTCCTCATATACAGGCATGAGAAAGCAAAGAAGGGCTACCTGCATTAAGGGATGTGGGGCAACTTAATGCAATGGAATTTTGTAATAGGCTTTGCGAACAGTGTGAGAAAAAAAAATATTGGGGAAAAGTAGGAAGTTCGTTTCGTACAACTCAACTCCACCCACTGCCGCACGTTTCGAGACATGGGACGTGGAAGCTGCTCAGTAACAAGCGCCAGATCGCCCTGGACTTCTTCTGTCACCACAAACCCCAGCAACTTCCTTGCTATGGGAGGGCCCGGACGCCAAGGATGGGGTTCTACCTCGTTCCATCACAGCGGTATTTCCAGGCATACACATGGCATATCTCTATTATTATGAATAGTAAAAAAGGATTAAACTGCCTCCTCTCCCAACAATTAGGAGTCGCTCAGGATTCTTAGCGACTGAACTACGCGCCAGCAGACCTTTAAATCCATGGTCCGTCTGTTTGTCCGTATTGTTTCTAACCACAGAAGCTCTGGGACTTCGCAAAGCCCGGAGAAGCTCAAAGGCAGGTGGACCTCAGCACTTCACGTACAGGGCAGCAGCAGCACCACGACAGCCCGCAAGAGAAACTTTTTTTTGCCCTCGCGTTTTACTCCCGGCTGTTTGCAGAGCAGCCCGTGAGTCACCCGGGCAGAGCCCCCTGCTCGGGCCGCCCTGAGTCACCGCGCCCCGCCCGGGGCGAGCGAGGGGAGCGGCGGAACGGCGCAGCCCCAGCCCGCCCGGGGTGACGCTTGTGCCGGGCTCTGTGCCCCGGCGCCCCCGCCGCACCCCGGGGCACAGGCAGCCGTAAGGGGCAATTCCGCCTGTCCCGCGGGGATCCTCGCCCGCTCCCGTCTCACCTGAAGCGCCGAGGGCGGCGGGCAGCCATCCCGCCTGCCCAGCAGCGCCGGGAGCCGGCGCAGCCCCGCCAGCATGGTCCTGCTGCACCTCCGCCTCCTCCTGCCCCGGCGGGTCCGGCCCCTGCGGCCTCAGCCTCGGGCCGGCAGCGCCGCGGCCGCGCTGGGCGTGGGCGGGCGGCTCCGCCCGGGGCCGGGCGCCGTGCGCGCCTTCCCCCGGCCCCTTCCCGCCCGCCGCCGGAGGGGCCGTGCCGTGCCGTGCCGTGCCGTGCCGTGCCGGGCCGTGCCGGGCCGTGCCGGGCCGTGCCGTGCCGTGCCGTGCCGGGCCGGGCCGGGCCGTGCCGGGCCGTGCCGTGCCGTGCCGCTCCCTCCGTCCCGCGGGCGGGCGGTCCCCGGCGGCGGCGATGCGCCGCTGCCCGGCCGGGAGCTGCTCTCGCCCCGCCGTGCCCAACCCACCGCCCTTTGCCTACAGGTGCTGGCACTCCTCCTCCGCGTCCTTCTTCTTCTTATAACTGAAACAGTTTTTCCATTACAAATATTAAAATAGCGATTAATGCCTGTCTTACCAGAACATCTGGCTCCTCTGTCACTATTGCCCGCTGCTCCTGGGTTTCAGTGGAATAAACGATTCAGCAATGAACAGCAAAGCAACAGAACACGCTCTTGTAGTTAGTCAGTTTATGTGAGAGTTTACAGCAGTAGAGCAATTAACAAGGCTTAGCATTTTCCTATTCAGTCATTTGTTGGGTATCACCTCCATGCCCACAAACACGGGTTTTCATGTTCAGTACAAACCGCTGAAAGACTCTCAGGCAGCCCCCTCGGCACTGCATCAGGGAAACATACCGGGAAGCTTTGTTGTACTCCTCTGCTTTCTCCACCCTTGCTGGTGTTCCTCCAAAGCAATGCTGCACAAAACAAAACCTTCCCTGAGGATGAGAAAAGGATCTTAGAAAATGGGCTGCTGTAGAGCTGAAAGTGCCGCTGTCATGGAAAAACTCTGCAACTGCACACTTGATGGCTCGAGGGGACTAAATTAAGTCCCCACTTGTGTTAATCTTCTGAGCACTGGAACAGAAACCTCCAGCAGCTTAGACTTTAGGTCACGTAGATATTCACTCACATTTCAGGGCCACTGTGATCTATTAAAATGAATGTGATCCCAGGAAACAGTAGAAGAGCAGCTGTGCTGTCAGCAGGCAGTGACTCCCAAAGGCATCAATTTGTGCTACAATCACTATTAGTATTTACTATAGCAAAAATTCTCTGAATTTTTTTTAGTAATTTCCCTTTACGAAACTGTATTAATGTCTCAACCTTATGTACCTTATTTCATACTTTGTTTTAAAATGTTGATAAGGAGCAAAGAAGCACTGATGCTCTCAGCAACTTGTGGATGTTAACTTATGGAGGGGACTGGGAATCAAGGCTTATGTTTTTATATACAGGTAGAAGAATTAAGAGAACATTAGTCACTGCCAAGTTTAAATGGGTGACTTTGATGCTTTGAAAAACCTATTCTAAATTTACCTTTCACACCTGTGCAAATGTCTCATGAGGCAACTCCTGCTTTTCTAGCTAAGCAACATGTTTTGTGTCTTACAGTTTCCACTGCAAGTACTTCCTGTTCACTGTAACTTAGTTGGGTTTTTTTAAAATGATATCTCAAAATGCATTTTCTTGTAGTTCAGGTCTAAATGAATGTCACATATAACCAACACTTGACAAAGAAAACCCTACATAAAATTATCATTGTGTTTATAACTGCTAAATGCCATACAAATAAAAATTGCTGTGAAACATCACTGTGGGCACAGACACCATTAAAATGCCTATATAATGGAGTGAAAGGCATAGTTTCTTGAGTTTAACTGCTAAAACAGAGTCTCAACCTGAAGTGTGTTCAAGTGGGACAACTTTTAGAATGACTTGGCAGTTCCCAAATTTTTGCATGTTCCCCTCTCCCCTTCCCCCATGCTTACAGTGTAGTTGCTAACTATGTTAAATTATATTAACCTGAAACTATCTTTGAAGGAGTTTTCTTGTTCCGTGAGAGGTAGGTTCATCTCTTCCCTTCTCATATCTATGTGTTCTGCCAATAAGAAACAGCACTTCAAGGGATGTGACTGGTATTCTCTTCATATCATGCAGACATGACTGGCCGCAAATCCAATAAGAAAATTACTAGGAAAGCAAACAGATTGTTACAGACTTAAGACTTATGTTTCAAGTAATATTCCCAGGAGTATTTTTTAAAGACAGAGATTTACTAAAATAAAGCCAGAGGGAGTTCTAGGAAAGCCTGAAATGAAGGGGGAATAAGAGGGACCTGGTGGTTCCAAGTGGAGAGGGGTCTGTCTCATAAATTTCATTCATTTCAAAATAAACTTTGTAAGATACGACACAAGGACACAAATAACCTTCTGAATTAAAAAAAAAAGTTTTCCCTGTGCCAAATAGCAAGCCAAAAAGAGAGTCTTATCATGCCTCACCAACTGGATTGTCAGAAAGACACGCCTGCAAGAGCAGAGATCTCTACCCTCACTATAGGGAGGAATGTGACTGAAGATGATGTGCATTATATTTCAAATACATTGTGCATTATATTTCAAATACATACAGAAAGGAAAGGCAGACTAATTACAGGGTGATAACCTTCATTAGCCAGCTATAGAAGTCCAATGACAAATTTGATCAGGACCCCAATTATAGGATGACACTCCCACCACTCAAGGAAACAAATATGATCAGCCATGATTACAGGGAAGCCAGAGCTCTTTACCTCATCCTCTGACTTGTTTCGTTCATCACAGTTCTTTAAGTGCTTCCTTTTTGTTCACAGGTACCTTTCCAGAGCTGGTGGGTGACACAGAGAGAGCAGAAAAAATCTGATGACAAAACTTAAAAGTCCCCCAACAATACCAAACCCACAGCAGAAAGTTTGACGTTCTTCCTCTAAGACTGTTCTATTCTATTCTATTCTATTCTATTCTATTCTATTCTATTCTATTCTATTCTATTCTATTCTATTCTATTCTATGCTATGCTATGCTATGCTATGCTATGCTATGCTATGCTATGCTATGTTATGCTATTCTCCTTCAGTAAGCAGGATTCAACATAGGCCTAGGACAAAATTTTCTAATGCCTCTTATTTGTAAACCAACAGTTAGAGGTTTTTATTTTAACTCTTGCACACTACAGTTCAAAACAGAAAATATAATGACATAGAATAAAATTCTGAGATATCTTCCAAAAAGCATGTCTATACTCAGATTTATCTTGCATCTGGTAATGAAAAGCTGCTGCAAAATTTCTCCTCTTCAGCAGCGAATATGAGGTAAGATCTCAAGCCTTGCTTGCAGAACTCCAGTTAAGGTCTTAGCAAGTCATTAGTAAACAGCCTGAATTTTCCCAAAAGTCTCAAGACTGAAACCCAAACTCCAATGTTTTCATGAAGAGGGGACCACTTCTAGACATGCATCAGCAATGTGCTATTCTGTGTAAAGACAGGACTTTTTCATCAGGGAAAAATTATGCTCTCTCCCATGGCACAGAGCAAAAAAAAAAAAATCTCTCTTCAAAGTATAAAAGAAGAGCTCAATGCAAATATTACCTCTGCCAGTGCTAATATACTAATCCGTCAGCTCTAGTAAAGAAAGAGTGAGATGAGCCCTATCACTGCCTGGCATAGAACACAAACAAAAGGTCTGTATTTTTTATAGAGCAGGGGATCATGCCAATAAGATTTCCTAAATAAACTGCTGGAAGGCGTGATATCACATGGGGAAATACCTGGACTCCAATTACAGAGAGAAATTCTTACTCAAGGCAGAAGTGCTTAGAGATGGAGGCTCTCTTATTAAATACACTCTTATTACAGAGTTGCCAGGCTGTCTAAATCGTACTGGAGTATTAAGTCAGCACAGCAGAGACCCGAGTCACAATTAAAGGGAGACAGCATCATTTGCAGTCATTGCTTTTTCCTTCCTCTTCTGAGTCTTTTTACTGTGTCTCCCCTTTTGCTTAGACTTTATATGTGCTTCCTCTGGCTTGTAAATGTATCTTTTAAGTAGTTGCATGACTATGGATGGAGTGAGCTAGTGGGATAGTGGGGAGACAGGGTAGAACGTCCCCTCTGGCTACCACTGCATAGGGAAATCAGCCTAATCTCCAGGGAGCCACAGCTCCAGGGAGAAATACACAACATGCCAGAAAGGTATGGATTGAGATCTCCCATTTTAAGTTTCAATTCTGGAGCCATTCCAGGCCCAGCTTGTGCTCAAGGCATCTGTCATCAGACAGCAGCAGCACGATGGAAAAGCTCAGCTGTTTCCTTTTCCCTGGCTAAACCACAAAGCAGAGCTTAGGCTGTTTCCAGGCTCGGTTCCTTCTGCACCACTCTGCCACAGAGATGAGCTCAAGTCTTCAGCTTGGCACCTGCAGTCTTAAAGAGATCATAGAAAAGTGGTTTTCCCCACTCAGGCAGCCTTAATGACCTACACTACACCTGAAAGACTGATGGCTTAAAACATGAGAACATGCAAATTTAATGCCATCAGCGCTGGATAGGAAACAACAGCTGCTCAGAGCAGAGCACAACCCTTGTGGTGAGGGCTCCTCAGTGAAACCTGTGCCTAAGCATTCCATGCTAGTAACTGAGAGTGAGTAATGGCTACGCACAGTTCGACACACACCACTCAAATACACAGAATGTGGAAGCAAGGGGAAAGAGGGGAACTGAACAAAACACTTCACATTCCAAACCTGCAAACAGCAGTAACAAATGACTCCTCAAAGTATATGTTCATTATACCAAAGCAATGCACACCCACAGCAGCATGTTCTTTTTGTTAGTTTGCATTAAGTTTTTTCACACTAGTCATTACAAATGACCACCAGAGCCACAGAGTCGCAACCATATTCAGTCTAAAACTTCAGACATCCTGTTTTATGCAAATACTCAGGCATCTGAGCATCCCCTCCAACCCCCATGCCTTCTCAGGACATTGTACTCCATCTGCCTGTTCTGCAGAGCATAACAGGGTTTTTGTAGCAATATTCTTGTTTGGGTAACAGTCTCTCCCTTCAAGGTCTGCCTGTTACTGTTTGAGGCTGAGGAGAAAGGCTGCCAGAAGCATAGCAATATGTTTGAGAGAAGGCTGACTGCTAAGATATTTTACATTTGATTCACGTGAAATTCACAAGCAGAAGCTGAAGGACATTCCTAGAAGTTCTAACTCCTGCCTCAAGAGGCTGTGCAGTTATGCCTGGACCTTTTCCACAACATGCAGTTTCTACACATACCTACGAGATTCAGTAACTTCCATTTTTTTTTTTTAAGGAAAGTGCTGAATTTTGAAGAAGCTGAAAAAGTCTTTCTCCAGTTTTAGGAACCTGCCACTGAGGGCTGACAGTTCACGGGTTTCTGTTTTGGGGGCATTTTGGTTGGGCTTTTATTTTTAGTTGGATTTTTTTTTTTTTTTGCTGTTTGTTTGGGGTTTTTGTTTGTTTTGTTTTTTGCTGTTGTTTGGTTGGGTTTTTTTGTGTTTTGTTTGTTTTTGTTTTAAATTTTCCCACAAAGCTAACACAGAACTTATTTCTTGTAACACAAGCACACTTGCTTATTTAAAGACATGGGTATTACTGGTTAACCAAGTTCGCAGTAACAAGTACTCAGGATGAAAATGAATAGAAGAGGGAAAAGGCTGGTGATTCCCACCTTCATGTAAATCAGCTCATGCAACACTGTTTGTGATAATTTGCATAGTACCAAGCACTTATGTCAAGTATAATCCCAATAGGTGGTGTGGAAAGACAAATGAACATGCCACCAGAAACG